GGGATGTTAATAAGGCAGTTTTATAAACTGTAGTGTAAAGCACCGCTCTGGCAAGACAGTGATGGAGTGAATGATGATGAAAGTTTTTCTTTTTTAGGGCCACCCTGCCTTGGTGGGAATCGGCCGATTTGTTAATATATAATATGTGAAATGTAGCCTCAGTGTCCTTGACATTAATGTCAAGGATTTTACGACTTTAACCACACACATGAAGTAAAAAAGATTGCAAAGAATACCATCGAGAAGATTGAGGCATTTTATATCTAAGTAAAAACCAGATGAATTTTCAACATCCTCTCCATCAGTTTGCATTTATAGCTGTTTAAAAGTCTAATCTGTAGTTTGCCTCCTCCATATTATTCCATCCTGTATTGGTCATTACCATAAAGAACCACCAACTAAAAATTTTTTTTCTCAATTACAAATTCAAAGATTTTGGTTATAATAAAGTGTAACCTAAGATCAGAAGTCTGTGCCTTTTCTTTAATGTCCCAGCAATCTAGAGCCTAGTTAGGCTCCTCATCACCCATAGGCAGCGTATGCCTAATCAAACCCCTACACTACCTAAGAGTAAGACAGCATCAGCAGTACAGGGAATCGGCCCCGTTTGCCTTTTAGAGTTACATCTTGGAAGTTAAATGACGAGATAACATATATCGCTAGAAAAATGCAAGTATTTGCTAACAAATTTATGGAGCTAGACGCAGGCCAGAATGATCAAAACAAAATGGAACTACAGCAGTTATTGTTAGTTTAAAAGTTTTATTATAAATTCCATACGCATCCTGTGGATGGAAGTCAAAACATTTCAGAAACAGATAATAATGTGTATGTTGTAAGCTCAACTAATATTATTAACCAGTTCTGTAGTTTTCTAACTACCTATACACTAGACGTCTGTCGGTCGCTGCGCGATCCCAGAAAGGTGTCCGCTTATTGCATACCCCTAGTCCCTAGTATATCAATGCACCCAAACAAAATAGTGCAGAATACGGCATAAATTTCCAATGCACTTTAAAAATGACTACAAATATGAAGTGAATGTAAAGAGGTATTCACAAATAATCACATTGGTACTAATATCCAAATTTCTTCAATACAAATAGCATATTACAACATACACAGCTCAAAACTAATTCAAACCTTCCACTACCAGATCACTGGTGCTCAAATTATCAGCACTGATGGTGAATCCATTCGGATGAGGCACTCAGAAATTATTGCATGAAACCCAATACTTCTATTTTCCCATCTTCTTCTATGAAAAAAAAGTAAACCTGGACTTACACACAGCATTTAAGGTTTAACTAAGAATTAATGTAGTAAATTAAGTAAGTTTTATTTATATTCTGAGAACATAATATACATTTTTTTACAATGTGCTGGAGATAACATAGATGTTATGGACATATTTCTAGTCAGAAGAGACATTCTTGAGTTATTTACAGAGATCAGTTTGGCTAATAAAACTGGTACATTAAAAATTTCAGAGCCTAAAATCAGGGCAAAGTTTTCACTGAGAAAAACCTCAGCTCTAGAACATTAAAGTTGGACAAAAACGGCATCCTCTAATTATTTATGAAAACTGACAATTTAAAATTTACATTTCTCAACGTGAAACTGAAATGGTTATAATCTTAGCCATAATTTTTGAAGGGGTGGACCAGTAAGTCAGTGGAAGACCTCAATCAGATGACCAAAAGCTATGGAAAACGTGAAGAAATTAAAACTGTATCGGAGTATAAAATAAATTCCAATCACACAACAGAGCGAGAGTCTAATGAAGGACCTGTGAGTAATAATGTCAGAGGATCTCATTTTCAAAGATCAAAGCAATGTATCAACCACATCAACTAAGAAAATAATAGTGTGGATAATGACAACCTTCAAAACTAGGGATGCAAAGCCCATGAGGATTCTCTTCAAATCGCTTGTTCTCTCTAGACTAGAATATTGCTGTACACTAACGGCCCCTTTCAAGACAGGCAAAATTGCAGACCTGGAGAATGTACAGAGAACTTTCACGGCACGTATAAGTACGATAAAGCATCTAAATTACTGGAAATGGTTGAAGTCCCTTGATTTGTATTCCCTGGAACGCAGGAGAGAAAGATAAATGATAATGTACACTTGGAAAATCCTAGAGGGACTAGTCACAAATTTGCAGCAAAAGGGCATTCTTAACAGTTTCATCAAAATTTCCGATTGGTTTCTAAGCTGTGTAAATAAATCACTTAATATTTTGAAGCCAATAAGAAGAAGCATTATTGATATATATATATATATATATATATATATATATATATATATATATATATATATATATATATATATATATATATATATATAACTCAATATCAATATATATTTAATAAAATTGGCCAGTTGGGTCGTCTGGAGCCTAATGACAATATGAACTCTGGTATTTGGAAAATACTCCTGGTATGAAAAATTGAGGCCGATCAGAGGAGGCGTTCTCTAGTTATCACAGGGATTTCAACGTTTCCAGACTTAAATAGACACTGCCAAATTTACCCGGACACAAGCTAAACTTAATGTGTATTATCGTAACTGTAAGTTGCATCAACCATTAAATATTAAAGCCATTGAGAAAAGGTCAACTCAACTGTAGTTAACGTGAGTAAATGGGAAGCAAAATTTCATTAATTTACACATCAAATTTGCATATGTGAGTCTACACACCTGAATTACATTCTCCTCCGTCGTCGAATTAAGAAGTACCGTTTTTGAACGTTTGAAGCTACACCACTGAGGGTTTTGGAAGTTACCTGAGCCATTCCAAGATGCTGAGAATGGGTTCAACAATTTTGGTAACAGGGCATCTGCACATGCCAATTGCTCCTAGAATCTTGGACCAGCGAAATAAAAATGAAAAGTTGGAGGAAGTTTAAAGAGGGAAAAGTCTGACAACCGTTTAAATGTTTCCTTTCAGGGATACTAATTAAAATTAATAAAATACTTACCAATTAATGTCAGAAGCTTAGTAAATATATTGGATGCAGTATAAGTATATGTTGAAACAGATTTATTACGATATCATCGAAATTACCGAGATATGTAGCAGTTATATGTACCGCTGAGCGATAGTGCCTACGGCTCAAAACCGAAGGACTCGGGCTAAATCTCTGACGAGTCGTGATGTATGGGCTGTTCTTATTAATCAAGCAGCATCGTAAGGAGATGTAATATAACTCTTAATTATATTAAGACAAGCTGAGGTAGGATAACAGTTCAGTGTGAAAGTTCATCAGTCTGAAAAAAAAAATCACTAAATGTCATTTTATAGGATATTTCCTTAGAACTGGCAACAAACAAAAGTAAGTTCAATAATAAAAATTAAAGAATATCTGGGAGTAAGCAGAAATAAAGATCTACACAAATGTTGCTCAGAATGTATTTGGTGTAAAAAGTTTCACCAAATACATGAAGTATTCTCAGCATTCCCTGCGGAAGTTCCAGATCGACATTAAGTTACTAACCAACAACTGAGACATACTCTCATGATGGCATATTGCCATCACGAGGCTGTAGACACAGTCATGGCTGGAGTGTATCATCGCAAACTGAAGGAGAGGAAATGGTTGTCCATGTACTAGAATATATTTTAATACAATGTCAGTCACTGATCTCAGCTAAGAATACAGCATGTGAGACTTGGTTATGATGACTCAATAAGACCTGGTGTTGCTGACGGATGTAGACTTGTTCCTAACTACAGAATAGACCCTGGGACAAATTATAGCAGTAGATATTGTTCTATCGTAGAGAGAGATTTCCTGCTGGTCCTGTTGCTAAGAGAAAAACTAAGTCCTAAAGACCTGGCTCTGATGACAGCAGACATACTGCTCTTCTCAACCAGTTCATATACTACTAACAATAACTACAGCAAAGAGCAGAGCGGGTAAAAGCGAGTAACAGGAGGACCTTTACTCCGCCACGGCTAGTCGGCGTGTGTGCAAGTATCCACAGGATAAAAGGGCCCTGAGAACATGATCAGCTTGCTAAAACTCCCAGCATACAACACGCACACAACTTCTTTAGTGAGTTGGAGCTGACGACCAGCCAGTGAGAACTCGGCTTCTACCCAGACAGAATCACTGTAAAATAACGAGCACATCCTATCTTATTCAACACTCCAAACATGTTAAAAAGGAGTTTGCATAATTAATATGTTTTTAGTAATACTTCTTTTAACATTCTACACAATGCATGTATCATATTGTAATGACGAACATTTCCGTCCCAGCTGAGAACGAAAATAAGCAGTCCATCAAAACAGACGACAAATACACAGGAAAATATATAAATAAATAATATGATAATTGCTCAATAATTCAAGGTCTGTCACGCGAGACATGACAAGACTTATATCGAGGACACATACAATATACTGAATAAATTACATACTTTTAAAATACTTTGAGATGTCTTATATGACACATATGAGAAGCATCAACATCAATCTCGTCAAAATAAAGAGCAGGACAAAGTCGTCTTATCACAAAAGTAATGAACGTTTGGCAAGAAGTTTCAAAGTAAAGTTGTCAAAGCTATGGCAGTACTTTAAAAAACTCACCTAACGAAAGTCATCCAACATAACGAGGGACCCCGGCACAAACCTTTACCCTCCGTCCCATCCACTCTCCCTCGAGGCTCCTACAAGACGGTGACCCACAAGTAAATAATTAATTTACGTTTTACCTTGTATAGTGTGTCTCCTGTAATATCTCAGTGAGGTTGTGCTGCTTGATGGTTGACCGTATCTTTCCTGAACATTCTTATAAAGAGTCTGTGGATCCAGGCAGTTGAGGTGACTGTGCAGTCGAAGTTTCAATAAATGACTGTCTTAACTCATAAAACTTTTTTTTTAATTTTAGACAAAGGTCCATTCACCACAGGTGCAATATAATCCTTCAATATGTTGATATTTCTCTTAATTATTTCACATGTGATTGGTATATCTCTCAACTCATTTTCAGTTCGTGCGTCGAGCATCGTCACAGGAAATGGTATGTTCTCTAGACTTTATTTTGTGATCTCTCATACAAAATATTAATTTAAGGTATCTGATGTTTTATATTTATTTTTAAGTTTGGAATTTGTATCATCCAAGGATCCAAATTTGTCTGTCTTCATTTTCCTGCTGGTATAAAATACAAGATCTGTCTTAATGCTGATATTCTGTCCCAGATTTTTCTGTTTCTTTGTTGGTTGATATTACTTTCTGAGTGGCTTCGTTGTATGATCCAGTGTAAGTTACATAATATGGTTGAGAAGACTTGATTATCAGTGGGTAGCGACGTGTCGAAGATGTTACCTGGAGGCCCTAGCAAACTACCTCATAAGCATGAGACAGTCAACTATTGTGTCATGCACGAGACACTTGATGACCAGGTGGAACAATGACTACGAAAGCGCCTTTCTCCTCAAGCGTGTATGACAGTCATATTACGTACAAAATTTTCTGATTGTGAACGTAAGATTCTTTCTTAGAAAGCATCGTTTAAAGCTAACTTAATTTACTGTGTTAATTAAGAGGTTAGGATCCAGAACTCATTCCCAGATTCAATGTCCTTAATAAATGATATAAAACTCACAAACCTGTCGTACAGTCAGTTAAGTAATAATACTTCTTCTGCTCACAAGTTTGGTTTAAATTCTGGGATTTGTTAAAGCGTTTTGTAATTTAGAGAAGCAGTAACTTGCCAGTTGAGGGCATACAAGTAATTAAATGCAAAGGAAGGTTCGTTACCCATACTGAATATTCCTAATTTAAGAGTTTAATAAACTAATTATCGATGATAACATGTCTAATAAACAGACTTGACATCGAGGATAAGGTGAAACTTTGAGTTCCTATCCTTGAAGTGTTCAGATGTGCTCATCATAATTCCTAAAATTTAACGAATGCGAGCTGATTCATTAAAATAGTGACCAACATTTTTATTAAACATTTCTTACCTTCTGTGGATGTCGATATTCAAAGGAAGTGTCTAACTTTTCATTTTAGCAATTTAGCTTTTGAACAAGCCATGAAAAATAAGTAAGAGATCGACGTTCTAGCTGACAAGAATAGATAAACTGGAGGTTGACCTGGGTCAGGTCACAGCCAAGTCACTCTATATGATGAATTTGGTTGATTCTCAGTAATGTGACGGACTGAAGTCTAGAAATACCGAGCTTCAATTTTACGCTTGGAAATTAGTCCAGAGAGTCTGTAGCAGTTAATACCATTACTCTGCGCATCAAGTTCGACATGTTTGCCGAACCATTCGCAAAGAAAGAAAAAAAAAAAGATGTGGAGCGACGTTGAATGTCAACAGTGAACTTAATGTGACTTAAATAAAAAACATGATAAAGAAACATCTTACTCCATATATTGCAAAATTCAAGGCAATTAAAAAAAAAATATGCGCCTGGCTTAGCATATTCTTCCCTCCATCGCTCCAAATAAAACCAATAAGTAGTAAAAAAAAAAAGCATTAATAAGTTGTAGTTTTAACACTGTTAACATAAATTAGAACCATCTCTAAAGGGATCAAGAAGCTACCAGATTTAGCAATATGATTGAAAACATCTTTTAAGCACAAGATTTACGTCGGCACATAGTGTCAACAATATATTAGATATCGTTCTAACCACAGATTGTGCTCTTATCATGCGAGCTACAAGTGTTATTAGGAAAAAGCGACTGCAGCATCATTCAGCTCAAAATAAATGGAAAAAAATTGAGATCCAGATTTATATTACGGCCGGTCCAATTAAAGAGCGGTGATCTTTGACAAGACTCGCCGTGACATCGTTAATGTCAACTGGATCAGACTACTAAATACAAGTAATATACAGGAAAATTGGAGCATGTTTAAAATTTTAAATAACAGTATTATATATCGAAAGGGATAACGTATTGAGAAAGATGAAACATATAAAGGAAATAATGTAATCAGACTGGATGATAAAATACCTAGTTGAGTTTATATACAGCAGGTGACATCACCAGCTCATCTCTAAATCTTTCCAGTATAAGTATATTGTCAGTGGCCACAATATTAGGTACACCCTCCTAGTACTGGGTAGGGCCCCACTTTGCCCCCAGCAGAGCATATAAGAAATTTAGGTTGATTGGTAACCTTGACGACCATGTTAACTATATACGGCTATTTGGAGAAAAACAGAAATATTAGAAATGATAAACGAGTTTGTAACACGAATTGTACACAATTTCAAAGGAAAATACAAAAAAAATCCTAAAATTCGTCACGGAGGGGAAATGTAAAAAATAATAGCAACGATAGGACATTTACTGAATGATGGTGCATGAACGTAACACTGTGTTAATGTTGGTAGAATTATCGACAATATGTTAGGTAGAAGGACACAAGTGCAACTAATGTGACATTTTATTGTGGCAAACGTTTCGATCTCCAGGAGCTTTATCAAGCCGTTACGGCTTGTAAAAGCTCCTGGAGAGCAAAACGCTGCCACAGTGAAACGTCACATTAGTTGCACTTGTGTCCTGTTACCTAACATAAAACTGCAACATAGATATGGCTTCAACACAAAACACAACAAAATTTGCTTTTTGTTGAGAAATGGTTTACCAGCTAAGGTAAAAGATAAAATATAGGGAGTACTTAGCTGATAAGACAGCTCATCGTCCACACAGCCGCCCCTGCAGACGAGGTCTTGAGAAGCTGTCATCCACTTCTTAATGGGCTGAAAAAGATTATATTATGTATGATAACAAATTACCCCTAGGGGGTGTTATGTCAGCATATTTCATTCACTGATGGCTGACGTACATACTTGTGTGGACTCAAAAGTCCGCTTATCACCGGGGTTTATGATAAGTGACTAACTCATAACTTAGACTCAACTGCACAGTCAATAGTAGTACATCATGAGTTAGAACACTTACCTGGGTATATGTATCTGACCCGTAGTTACGCCCGGAAATCCGATGAGTTGATTGAAGAATAGTGTTCTTTGAAGAATGTTGCACTACACTCTGTTGGATCATAACGCTCGTTGTTACACTGTTCATCAATAATTGTTCACACTATATCACTAAAGAAGGTGATCACACTTCTCTGTAAGTGTTTATCATGTTTTGTGAGACACTTTGTTCACACTAACCCACGGATCAGTGCTCTTTGTTGGTTATCGTGGCGTCTGTGTGGCTCTCAGTAGAGTCAAAAATAATCTAACCTCACAGCGTCCTACGCCGCTCCAATGCCCCTCGAACATAAAGGAAAAGCTGACCTAGTACTTTTGCTTCCTTGCCACTTCCTCCATGAAGCAAAGCAGAATGTTTGATTCTTGCTGTCTTAAGCATAGACAACAATGTACACTATCTTTACCATGGTAATAAAGTGGGAGAAGGATTTTCCTTAATTGTCCTGCTAAGGTAAGAGATGGACTGTCTTTTATTAAACTACACTTTGCAACACTGAACTTTGCAAGGAGCGTCTCGTACTGCATCTGGGATCAATTACTTGCTGTAGTAGTAAACAAGATGCTTGCCCCTTCTGAGAGGGCTGGGCCCCTCAGGGCTGAAAGGGGCTGAAGGGGGCTGATTCCCCCCTCCTGGAGAAAATTTCTCCACACTTTTAGCGACGAGCTCTGACAATAAAAATATTAACAAAATTAACAGACTTGACATTAAAATACGTAAAGAAGATGAATATTAACAAATCAAGAAGACCTGATATACTGCCTGCTGGAGATACTGAAGAATGTAGATAACAAATTGATTTCCCAATAACGGTATTATTTAACAGATCATTAGAAGGGAAGTTGCTGAAAGCGAATGTTTCCTCAATATTCAATAATATCGTCCCGTCAGTTTAACATTAAAATTTTAGGTAAACAAATGGAGACTTTCATTGGGACTGAAATTATGTTATTTTCTGGAAAGTAATAAAATAACTGAAAATCAACATGGAATTCAACACAAAAACAATGCATAACTTATTCGAATTTTTAATATATATGAAAAAAAAAGGATGAAAAGTCCACCAGATATAATATATCTGGTTATCCAAAAATCTTTCGACAAAGTACCCCATCAAAAACCGCTGGCCAAAATAAAAGTGGATGGTATTGGATACAAACTTAATGCCAAACTATTGACTGGTTCACTAACAGGAAACAGTGTGGTACTGAACTGATAAATATCTGAGTGGCAAACAAAGAAGGAAATTTCTCAGACATCTGGATCTTTGTTCAGTCTTTTCACAATGTGCGTAAATGATTTTAGGTAATGGCTAACATGTAAGATTAAAAAACTACCAGATGACACAATATTAGTGAAATTTAAGCATCAGGAGCAGATGTTTGAATTTTCAGAGTGATGTAGACTAGGCAGCACTGTAGTCGAAGTGGAAGATGAGTTTATATTAACAATCGCAACATAATGCATTTTGGATACAGTAAATTCGAAAATAAATTTAAAATATTTGGCAGCAAATTAAATAATAGAAAAATACCTTGGAAAAAATCATAAACAACTATCTCGTAAGTACTAAACAATTCACATCTGCAAAAACGACACTTGTTCAGTTGTATCTCAAACATGCCGTCCGGTTTTAGTCTATAATTTACCGAGGAAAAGGCAACTAAGCTCGTGCCATCACTAAGACAAATAATATGAAGACAAACTCAAAGAACTGAACCTTTTTTTTCTTAAAAAAAAGCGGAGATTATCAGGAGATTTCATTCAAACTTTTAATAAGTTGAAAGGTTTCGATGCACACTAATGCGAAGCATAATTTGAAATGCAAAATGAGTCAAATACTCGAATCATTGGAACGAAACTTCTAGGCAAGAGATACAACACCTACATGTGTAACGTTTTGTGCAAATAAAATTGTAAAAAAAATGGAACAAACGTTTTGCTGAAACTTCAAGCGGGAAGACAGTACGAATAACATCCAGCTTGACAAGTACTCTGCAAACAAAATTCAATATCGTTTCGTTATAACATTGATGAGAAAAAAATCGATTCCTG